ATGATGATGATGATGATGATGATGATGATGATGATGATGATGATGATGATGATGATGATGATGATGATGATGATGATGATGATTATGATTATGCTGATGATGATGATGATGATGAGGAGGAGGAGGAGGAGGAGCAGGAGGAGAAAAGGGAGGAGGAGGAGGAGAAGAAGAAGGAGGAGGGGAGGAGGGCAAGCAAACTGGCTAGAGGTCTCTTGGGTGCCTCTCGGAGCCTCTGGATGTCTCTTGGGCGCTTCTTTGGGGCATCTTGGGACGTTTTGGTGGTCTCTCGGCGGTCTTGGTGGCTCTTGGGCATCTTGGGTGCCTCGGGAGGGCCTCTGGGGCCCGCTCGGGGCCCTCTCGGGGGTCTCCTGGGGGCCTCCTGGGGCCATCTTGGAGCCATCTTGGGGCCATCTTGGGGCCTCTTGGGGCCTCCTGGGCGTCTCTCGGGGCCATCTTGGAAGAAATCGATCAAATAAGAGGGGTTCCTGAATTAGCGCCCCCCCCTCGGGAGCCCCAACGATCGTCTCTCCGCTTGGGGCTCTCTTGGGCCCATTATTGAAGCGGTCTTGGGCCATCTTGGGGCTTCTTTGAAGCCTCAAGAGGCCCATCGGGAGCGAAACGGCAGGACGGCAAAAACATGTGTCCTCAGGTTTTGGAGCCAATTGGGCCTCTTGGGGGGTATTCGGAGGACTCGAAGGGCACTGGAAGCCGTTTTGGGCCGTCTGGAGGCGTCATCGAGGCATGTCAGAGTATAGTTTAAATCATGTTCGGCTATCTTGGGCCATCTTGTAGGCCATCTTGTGTTTTCTGAGGCCCCCTTCGAGCCATCTTGGGCCATCTTGGGCGCTCTAACTACCCCGTCCCCCCTTCCTAGGCCCAGGGGAGAGGGTACGGGGGAGGAGTAAACGATTCCTCCGAGCAGGAGAAGGAGGGACTCTTGGAAGCGAGAAGACAAAGTTCGTTAAACCACCTGCGCCCAGAGGGCTTGTGGGATTACTCAATGCGAATACGACGCTCCTCTCGTGCCCGGACTACGCCCTGGAAGTGTTCCACCCTGTTGTTTGTTGGTTTTGTTTGATTTTTGTTGCGGACCCTGCTTTATTTGTTGAGACTTGCGTTTCTGTTCGCTTCCTAAAAACACACGATGTCATTCGTTCACCTGCCATCCGTTTTTTCCCCTTCGGAGCGTTTCCGGCGTTTCCAGTGGCAGGGCTGGACCTAAACGGTGTTTTGTCGATTTCGCGGGCCGTTTTCGTTTCGACTTCGTTTTGCGGTAGAGGTGGATTGAAGACAAAACGAGGGAAACGAAAACAAATCGAAAACGAAAAACACCGTTTAGGTTCAGCCCTGTTGCAGCGTTGGCTTCGTTGCAGGATCGGCGCTCTGCTCCTGTCGATCAGCATGGCGCTCCCGGCCCAGCGACGGCCACATTTCTGCATCAGAGTGTTTCCTTATCTTTGTAAGAATATTATAAAAAAGTGTTTCCTGATCTTTGTCGCCGCTTCCTCTCCCCCGCCTCCCCCTCCAGCTCCTCCCGCCCCTGCTACCTCTTCGTCCTCTTCTTCCTCGTTCTTCTCTTCCTCCTGCTCATCCGCCTGCACATCCGGCACCTCCCCTAGCATGCGCAGGTCCCTTTTGCAGACTGCACACAGCATTATGGAGTCTTGTTGGAGATTCCAGGTCAGCTATGACACCCGTTGGCGGATAGAGAGCGAACCAGCGGAATGGTAAGGGATGGATGGGGCGGGTAGGATACCAGGAGGACGAGGACGAGCGCATTCTCTCAGACGAGGACGAGTACCAGGACGAGCAGGACGACGACGAGGAGGTCGTTCTGACCGCTGGGGATGTACGACGCGATGAGGTTCGGTTCTGTCCAGTCGTACCTCCTCTGGCGCCCCCCGCTGGTGCGTCTTGAAAGCTGCCAATGAGCACCTTGCATGGTTACGAAGCTTCTGTAGCTTCAGTCCGGGCTGGGGTGTCGGGCTGCACAGCATGCCGCCGTCGCCCCCGTGGGAGAGGTTCGGTTTGTCGCTTCCAGAAAGGTGGTCCGGTGACTGGGTAGTTGCCCGCGTCCTCGGGGTCATGGCAATTAAGGCACGCGGGCATTGTGGTTCCAAGGAACCGCAAGGCGCACCAAACTACATCCCAGCTATTTGTTATGTTCGAGGCCGCCGCCAGAGGGGGGGGGGAGGATATATGAGGAGGAAAAGGATCCAGGTGCACCCGGGAGGAAACTTACCTTTTTCGTTACCTTTCAACTCTCAGGGGCTGAGGTCCGTGGCCTGGAAGCCCCCCCAGAGCTCCCCTCCCTGGGGAGCTCTGGGGGCTCTCTGGGGCCGAGGCGGTCCCTGCTCGCCCCGTTCTCCCGCCTCCCCGTTGTTCCCCCCCTTGTCCTCGTCTCCCTCGCCTCCGGGCACCCACCCTTCGACCACAAGGCCCGCCGCGTGCCGCAGCATGCCGTTGTGGCGCCTTGGTTTGATCACCCCACCGGGGCCGGCCCGCCCTGGGGGCGGGGGAGGCTGCACCCGCTGGGATCTCAAGCCGCCAGGAGCCAGGAACAAGGAGGAGGAGGAGGAGAAGGAGGAGGAGGAGGAGGAGGAGGAGGAGCAGAGGAGGAGGAGGAGCAGAGGAGCAGAGGAGCAGAGGAGTGGGGGGAGCGGAGCAGGAACAGATGGCCCATGCTTTAGAGGAGAACGAAGGGTGAAGAGGAGGCGGAGGGCCAGCATGGGGCGGCGGGGACCCCCCCCGACCTTGGGCCTGCCGCCTCCGGGTACCGCCGAGGTGCCGCCGGTGCCCTTGCCCGAGCAGGCGCATCCCCGCTGCCACAAGGCGGCCTCATGGGGCGAGGGCCTCCTCCTCCTCCTCCTCCTCCTCCCTTCCTTCTCGCTCGCGCGCTAGGGATGTACCGACCGCTTCCCCAGAGTGCCCTGCCGCCCCCGCCTGCCCGCCCCTTCTGCTCGCCGTTCCCCCCCCCCATGTTGGCGTGCGCCGGCCAGTCGGCACGTCCTGGGGAAGACTATGGGCTCTGGAACCTTGTGTGCGCGCTGCGGTGGGAAATAACGTCATCCTTCCCCAGCTTCTTCCTCCCTTTCTCCTCCTCCTCCTTCTCCTCCTCCTCTTGCCTCCTCATGCTCCGAGATTCGAGCTGCGGGCCTTTGGCTCCCTGGACGGATGCGGCCCTCGAGCCCCCCCTCCCCCCCGGAAGCGCCAGGAGAAAGCAGGAGGCCCTGGGGGGCCCCAAGGCATCTTGGCGTCGCAGTTTGTTTCTATGGCGAACCTGGCGGTATCGTCCGTTTGGGGACCCCGGGACCACCACGCATCGTTCCGGCTCTAGACATGCTGCAGAAAGGTGGGGGTTAGAACTCCAGTCGTGATGTTTCGCAATGTTGCATCTTTTCCGCAACGTCGGATCTCAGGGAACGGAACGGCTTGGTAACCACGGCATAAATTTTGGCAGTAATTTCCGCCCTCCGTTGGCGTCGACTGGGGCCCAGGACCGCCAAGCACTGGTTCGGGATGAACACCGGTCCCCGGGAAGGGGTCTGGATCTGTTCACCGAGCGCGTTCGACTACTCGCAAACGTCCGAAAAACACATGTCTGCGTCGAAGTAGTATCTCGTAAATCCTCCATGGCGAATCCAGCCCATTTGCGAGTAGCTCGTTTGCGAGAAGTGGAACGCGCTTGTCTATCTGTGGAGAGCCACACTGCGAAAACATCCCGCTGCCAGCATTGCCTGGGAGGGTCTCTGCATGCATTGAAAGAGCGCCTCGCCGCCGTCACTTTTCCTACACGGCCGCCTCCTGCAGCCAAGCGGCTGCAATGAAGACCAGCTTGTTATCAGGAGGGGCTCTGATTTGGGGGCCGTTCCTTACAGTCCGAATCGTCGTGGGCGGCCAGAATGGGGGTGACGACGGGGGGGGTGGATCTCGTGGCGGGGGCCACGATATCTCCCCAGACTTCATGGCGCCTCTTCTTGTTTCAGTGCGACCCCGGACCCCCCCCCCTCGGCCGCGCTCATGCCGCCGGCCACGATTTGCGCCCCACCCCCCTGGATCAGGAGGGAAAAAACACACACAGGCACAACGAGTCGTCGATCCCCCAGAAAAGAGGGGAACATATGGGAAGTGGTGAGGAAGACAAAAGCCCAGGAAATATGTAGGAAAACATGGGGAACCTTTTTTTATTCGTGTGTATTCCTTTGTGTGTCCCAGGGCCCCTTCACTGGGCGCCCCCCTTCCCTGGACGCCCCCGAGGTCGGGGAGGAGCCTGTTCGTCGTGGAGGCCCGCCGTGGCTGGGAGCAGCTCCTCCTCCTCCTCCTCCTCCTCCTCCTCCTCCTCCTCCTCCTCCTCCTCCTCGCTCCGCTCGCTCCGCCGGCCCCGCGGGGGCCTCTCATGGGGGCCTCTTGTGGGGGCCTCCTATGGGGGACCTCTTGGGAGCCTCCTGGGGCTCTAAAACAGGGCTAGGATCGGGATAAATCGCTCCAGAGCGTTCCGGAGCGCTCTCAGTCTTGGGAGCCTCCTGGGGCTCTAAAACAGGGCTAGGATCGGGATAAATCGCTCCAGAGCGTTCCGGAGCGCTCTCAGAGCGCTCCGGAACGCTCTGGAGCGGCCGCGGCGCCCACTACATCCTCCAACCCCGCCGATTCTCAGAGATTTCGAGTTATCCCGATCCGATTTTGTCCCGATCTTCGCGTCGTTTTAGGCTCCCTGGCAGCGTCCTGGGGGCCCCCAGGGCCTCTGGGGGGGCTTTTGGGGGGGGCCTCCTGGGGCGGGAGGGGGGCTGGAGCCGATGGCGGCTCCCCCCCCTCGGCGGCCACGATCCTCGTGGGGGGTGTGGAAAAGGGGCCCTCCCCTGGAGTGCTCTGGTGGCTTCTCCCGGGACCTTGCCGGGGTACTTTTCGTCCGGGGGCCCCCAGGGGCCGCTCCGCGCGCGCGAACTAGAAATATTGTTAACCAGTTACCGGAGATCTTAGCACGCATCTGGACCGTTGGGCCGGCGAATTCATCGTTCCTTCTGGCAGCAAGATGGCCATGCCCTCCTCGTGCCTCCCGTGCTCAAGCAGTGGCGAGGCGTCCTGGCTCGCCCATATAGCCCAACCACACAATGTTCTAAGAGCTGCTTGTGGTTTCAACGAATTGTTCTCAGAACGTGTCTGGCTGGGGATGTTTTGTTTTAACACATAAGGCTCAAGTTCTCAAAACATTGTTACTGCTCTTAGAACAGTTTTGGGTTCTAAGAACACTTCGTGGTAGGACTATAGAATGCCAGGACGGTCGGTCCCTGCTCAACGTGCTCCATCCGCGATTATGCGTCCCGGTCTGCCGCCCCGAACGCGCTGAGCGACCGCCAGCGTTGCGACCAACAATGTTCGGGAGACGGGCGGTGGGAACGGCGGGGGTTCCTGGCCGAGACAGATCCCCGTCCCCAAGACCACAGCCAAAACGCTAAGATAAGAACAGTTTGAGTTTGGACGGGTTCGATGTTCCCCAGGTCCTTCCATGTCTCTTTCTCTAGCGCTTCTTGTCCACCCAGGCGCTTCTTGGGGCAGAGAAGGGTTTCGCTCCTTATGGGAAGTTTCTGATTCTCTTGCGCAGGGCGTCTGGAGCTCCGACCACCTTATTTCGGCACGGCGCCGCCCCCCCCCCTCCCAATCCCGCACGCACCCTTCGCATGACCCCAACCACCAGCCAGCGCACCCCCTCCGCCTCGACCTTTCGGCACGGCACCGCCCCCCCATCCCGAACGCCCCCTCTGCGTCACCCCGCCCACCAGCCAACGCGCCCCCTCTGCCCCGACCCCTCTTATTTCGGCACGGCACCGCCCCCCCCATCCCGAGCGCCACTTCCATCACCCCATCCACCAACCAGCACGCACCCTCCGCCCCGACCCCTTTATTTCGGCACGACACCGCCCCCCCCCGCATCCCGCACGCCCCCTCCGCATCACCCCACCCACCAGCCAGCGCGCCCCTTACGCCCCGACCCGTTTTATTTCGGCACGGCACCGCCCCCCCCCATCCGGAGCGCCCCCTCCGCATCACCCCACACGCCAGCCTGCGCGGCCCTTCCACCCCGACCCCTTACTTCCTTACTTTCGGCACGGCACCCCCCCCCCCTCCCATGCCGCGCCCCCCCTCCGCATCGCCCCCGCCAGAGCGCCCCCTCCGCCCCGACCCCTTTATTTCGGCACGGCACCGACCCCCCCCCTCCCATCCCGCGCGCCCCCTCCGCATCCCCCCACCCACCAGCCAGAGCGCCCCCTCCGCCCCGACCCCTTTTATTTCGGCACGGCACCGACCCCCCCCCCCCATCCCGCTCGCGCCTCTTTCGCATCCCTCACCCACCGCCAGCGCGCCCCCTCCGCCCCGACACCTTTATTTCGGCACGGCACCGCCCCCTCCGCTCCGACCCTTCTATTTCGGCACGGCATCGCCCCCAGCCAACCAGCCAACGCGCCCCCCCACCACCTCCCCACCCGCCAGCCAGCACGCCCCCTCCGCCCCGACCCTTTTTATCGGCGCGGCACCGCCCCTCCGCCCCGACCCTTTTATTTTGGCACGGCGTCGCCCCCCCCATCCCGCGCGCCCCCTCCCGCATCGCCCCACCCATCAGCCAGTGCGCCCCTTACGCCCCGACCCGTTTACTTCGGCACGGCACCGCCCTCGCCATCCCAACGGTGGATTGACGATATTTCAGTTTTTGTTCGTACGACGTGCGCAAAGGAATGGGAATCAGTGGTATCAGATGTTGACATATGGGCAAATATGGAAGATTCGTACGCGTCCCGCAAAACACGTCCAACAGCGACACAACCACAGTGCATGGAATAGTTTGGCCAGGGTATGATATGCGACGTTCATCCTCCGACTCCAGCTCCCAACTTTCCGACTCCAGCTCCCATTCCGACTCCAGTTCTTCCCGACCCCAGCCCCAATTGTCATATATCCGACTATGAGACGTTCGAGTGATGCCGGCGCCCCGGCGCCACCGCCTAGCCCCGCGCAGGGCCGTCCCCCCTGGGACGACACAGGCATCCCGCGCGCCTCTTCCGCATCGGCCCACTCACCAGCCAGCGCGCCCCCTCCGCCCCGACCCCTTTATTTCGGCAGGATTGTGCACCGCCCCGACCCCTTACCATGGGCCCTGCGCATCCACCCAGCTGCCAGCCAGCGCGCCCCCTCCGGCCCGCGCCCTCTCCGCATCCCACTCACCCACCAGCCAGACTCTGTACGCAAAACAGGTGCCCTGGACAAGCGTTCTCCGTACAAGGCCGTAACATGTGGCACTGTGCATCGTGAGCATCCAGCAGCCAGGTCTGCTCCAGAATTTCTTGGGGCCCTCCTTGGGCCTTGGTGGCTTCAGGGAAGCCTTTTCAATGTCTTTTGAGGTTGCCGGGGGTCTTTTGAGACCCTTTGTGGGCTTCTTGGGTGTCTGTTGGAGGTCTCTTCGGAGCATGTTGCTGGTCTTTGAGGCCATCTTGTGAGGGACGGCCCTTGAAGCCCCTCTTGCGGCCCTCTCTGAGCCCTCCTTCTCCGATCTCTCTTCCCCTCCTCCTCCTCCTCCTCCTCCTCCTCCTCCTCCTCCTCCTCCTCCTCCTCCTCCTCCTCCTCCTCCTCCCCCTTCCTTTCTGTGCAAGAGCCATGGCACGCGTGCCACTTGTTTCAGCAACGCGACTGTAACACCACCTTCTATCCTGGTGCCGCTTTCAAGGGTTCGCCCAGCTTCTGACACTGCATCCCCAAGGTTGTGATCGCGCTTGGCTTGTCGAGCTTAGGGGCAGGGATGGCTTCAAAGGCAAACTTAGGGTGACTAGGCCCAGGGAGGGAGC